CCCTGGTCGGCTGGGGACGGTCTCCAGCAGACCAGGGACACCTGGAGCAAAGCCAGGGAGGCGGAGGGGTCCTGCGCCTCTGAGGCTTTGCCAGAGCAAAGCCTCAGAGGCGCGAGACCCCTCTGCCTCCCCGGCTTTGCTCCAGGTGTCCCTAGTCTGCTGGAGACAGTCTCCAGCAGACTAGGGGCACCTGGAGCAGCTTTTCTCGCCCCAGAGGGCGGGGGCGGCGGGACTGCAGCGCATCTGGGCGTCCCGCCGCTCCAGTCCTCCGGGGCGAGAAAAGCCCCGTTCGTAACATAAGTCAGATCCGTGTAACTCGGGGACTGTCTGTATTTGAGTTTGTCTTGATATATTTACTTTAGTACCATCATATTTTTATGGGAATTACTTTTTTCAGAGGGTGTTGTAAGGACTGGCTAGTATGTTTAAAAAGCTTTGCTCATCAAAGTGCTACATAAGTGTAATCTTTGCTCTAATTATTAGTTTGTTGCTCCTTTGTCTTCTGATTTATGCAAATGATAGCATAACATGAAATGGCAGTAATGTTGCTTATAGCTGATTGTTTTTACTCAGTAAAAAGACTTGTCTCTACCTAAACAGACAAAGTATTTCTTAAGAAGTACTGAAGAAGAAATCACTGATTACTCTCTTTTCTCTGTGCAGTACACTTGTTCCTTCTAAAGGCACTAATAGTTCCTGTTGCTATGTAATCTCTCAATTAGCAGAGTACTGTAGATGGCGTAGATTTTGTACATTTGGTTTTAGGGTAGTAACAGTGAACTGCAAAGAGGCACATTTCCAGACCTTCATGGTGCTTATAGAAAAATAACTTGATTGTGTGCTAATAATTACAGAAGGTTGGCATGCCAGATACCTCTTTTCTTATGTTGTGTAGGAAGTGTCCCGTTATCACTCCCTCTAAACTGGTATTTTGTATTCTCTAAAATAAAATTATGGAGCTGCTTTTTTTTTTTTTTTTTTTTTTTTTTTTGTCTCAGGGAACATTTTCCACTTATTTTTTCAGTCACAGGAGTTAAGGATTAAAAGTTATAATAGGGATTTAGAAAAATGTCCAGTATATCAGACATTAACTATAATTTATCCTGACCTAATGTTTGTTTTGAATTTTTAAATCCAATGTAGATACATCAAGGAACATGGAGTTTCATGAGATACATAGCACTGGCAATGAACCACCCTTGCTACTAATGATTGGGTACAGTGATGGAATACAGATCTGGAGCATACCTGTAAGTACATAGTAACTCTGTCTTCAGAAAACAAGATACTGATTTTATGCCATATCTAATTTTTATAAAAGACTATATTACTTTAAACTAAACAGAACAAGGATGCAACATATGTTGTGCTTTTAAAATGGTTTAACTTAATATTTGGTGTCACTCACGCTCTTAAATTAAACTAACGGTTGGACCTCCCTGGTCTGGCACCCTTGGGACCTGATTGGTCCTGGATGAGTAATTTTTCTGGCCCCCTCTGCTGCTGTCACTCCCTGCCCTCCCTCCCCGCCCCCTCTGGCTTCCCAGCCCCTCCAGCGTCCTAACGGAGCCACAGGCCAGGCTTCCCAGTCCCCTCGCAGCCCTGCTGAGTTGTACATCAGGCTTCCCAGGTTCCCCCCTTTCCTCCCTGCAGCTCCGTTGCGCTGTGCATTGCTTCCTGCCCCCTCTCCTCCCGCACAACGCCGGGCTCCCAACCCCGCCCTCCGACAGCACGCCAGGATACTCTGATCTTGGAATATCCATGGTCCTTCTAGACCATGGATGTTGCTGGATCAGAGAGTTCCAGAGGTGCAACTTGTACCTAACTTTTAAATTGGATATTGTGGTTTGTTTTTTTTTAATTTGTACACTTACTGTAACAGTAATTTTCAGACTGACTTGGAGAAGGGTGTAACATTACAGAGCAGTGAGTTTAGATTTATATATTTTAGAGATTTCTGTATCTGTCTCTGAGTCCATTATTTCAAGAACTCCTCCTGAACGATAAGCTCTATGGCCACCAAATTCAGTATGCAGTTTCCTCTGACCCTAACTTAAAGTGAAGTCAGTGTTTGGTTGTGCCAGGAAAACAGGTAGTGCTGGGAATGGGACTGTTTGGTAGGACATGGAAAAGGAGGGCGCAGAGAGAGAAGGGATGCAATACTCACAGTCACTATTGGGGGCAGCAAGTGCAGGGTGCACTATACTGCAGAGTGACCACTAGGGACTGCCGCACCAGTAAGACACTGGCCAGCTGGGGCCTGGGCTGTGCAAAGAAGCAGGTAAGTGACCTCCCAGCCCTAAAACAGTGCCGGGGAGCCCTTGGCCCTTCAGTACCACCCAGGCAAGCTCCCTCTGAAGACAGCAGGCTTCAGGGGGTAGGCCGCTAGAGGCCATAGCTAGCCCCCAGAGCCTCACTCTCCCTTTCCCCCAGACAGCCTGCAGGGGGAGGGGCTGCTGGAGGCCTGGGCCGGTCCCTGGAGTCTCCCCTCCCTCTCCCCCAACAGCCTGCAAGCTGTGGGGAGGCCACTGCTGGCTCGCTCTCTTCCACCCCTTCTCTTCCCCCCACGGACAGCCCGCAGGCCATTTATTTTATTTTCTAAAAAACAAAAATCAGTCAAGTTAAAGATCCGAATAACGCCGTGTAAATCTTCTAGCATCACATAAATATGAGAGGGGGAAGTCCACCCTAAGGAGGAAGGGTAAATTCAACTATTACATGAAAAATTATGAAAAGGATATACACTTCTCACAAAAACAAGCATGACAATATTAATAGCGTTTTACAATCACACTGTCTGTCTGTCATGTACATGATTTGCAATTTTAATTTTATTAAAGTCTCTATGCGCATATGGGTTTGATTTTACTCTGTCATACGCAGCATGCAATTTGCGTTTTAGAATGGTTTGAGCACATGGACTTAATTTGGGAAATTTTCTCCAAATTTCTTGAACTGAGGAAAAAAAATTTAATACTGTATGTGATAAAATTCATAAGTCAAAATCTAGTGTGTCCAATACTTTGTACTTCAAAATAAATCCAGTGAGCTTACTGGATGAAATTTCTCTTCTTTGTAGAATATAGTGCCTTCTGGAAGGTATTTCTCTTGCATCACTCCCTGGGTGTGAAAGAGTAGTTTTTATGCTGCAGGCTACCTTTTAGGAAATGAAATGGAATTTCATTTTCTCTGTGAAAGTACTTCTGCACACCATCTTGGGAGCTGTGTTAAGCACTGGCAATTTGGTTTTACAGGGGGAGACAGAACTGGAATGTTTCTCAAAATTTATATCTTTCCTGTTAAAGAGGAAGAAAAAAAACCCCTTGTTCTGAAAGCTAAGAGCCAGCAGTTGTGGGGGTAAAATAAGTAACCCTAATATACCTACAGTACTTCATGTGGAATTGGAGAATTAGCATATTATTTTAGATTTTCTGAGGAACTACAGTTGTTTTTCATATTCATGATTTTATTGTGAATGGAGCATTTGGATGCTGCTGCATATTTGTCTTTGAACTTAAAACAAAAAATAAGTGTATTAGTTGTTTACTTCTTGAGCAAAGAAGTTACAGTATGAACTACAAGAATTCTCCATGCAAAATATTTTTGTGTGCAATGAAAACTTGAAAGTATTCTTGCACTCTTATACAAAAAGTGAGTGTTTTAAATCTTTCAGAAAAGCACTGTGCTTTGTTCGTCATGTGTATTACAGGAAACAAACATTAGGTGTCACTAAGATATTGAGCTAAGAAATATAGTAGAGCTGTAGTAGTACTGATGATCTTAAGAGAGTTTTGAACAAGCAAGTTAGAATAATGTACAGAGAATTACACTGATCTTAGCTAAAGATTTTCTGTAACATAACTTGTTTGAACTTGTTTTTGATGAATGTATTTGAACAGGTAAGTATATTTACTGAAAGTTGTATAGAGGCACATGCGTGATTTGTGTGGCATTGGACTTGTCTGGGCTATATCAAATTAGAGTTTGGGTCTTCCTTTGGCAAGGGATCAGTTCTCTGTTGGGGTAGTACAGTGAAAGCTTTGTTATCTTTCACTCTGTTAACCAGAAAACTTTAACCGGCATCGCCCCCTGCTGTGTCTTCTGGCACCTGTGCCTGACTCCTGCCAGTCCAGCTGGCTGTTGTGGGGCTTCTGACATCTGCCACTGCCATCTGATGTTATCAGCCGGTGCCTCCTTCCCCCTCAGCCTGCCTCACACTGCTAGGAGCCAGATCTTCTGGTAGGGGGTGGGGGCACAGCAATAAGCTTTGTTATTCGGCACATTCAATAAACCAGCACAAGGTGAGTAACTCTTTCTTCTCCTTGGAGTGGTCCCCGTGGGTGCTACACTCTGTCCCTCCTTCCCCTGCTTGGAGCCTGATACTCTGGCGGGTAGAGAAGGAACGGAGGTACCTTAGGCTATGTCTACACAGCAGCGTTATTTCGGAAAAACTGACATTATTCCGAAATAACATTGTCCGTGTCTACACAGTTATTTTGACATAATGTTGAGCCAGAGGACTTCTTACTCTGACCCCTCAATCTTTGTACAACAAAGGTTGCAGGAAGGTCAGAGGTAGAGTGCTCTGTTTCAAAATAAGTGCTGCGTATTCATGCCCAAATCCGAAATAAACTATTTCGACGTAAGCTACGTAGTTAGCGTAACTCAAGTTGCATAGATTATTTTGAGTTTAGCCCTGCTTTGTAGATGCACCCTTAATTAGTCATTTAACTTCTAGTTCCTTGTCTCTTCTATCACTAGAACAGTCTCCACACCAGCCCGTCTGCATGGTTTTTTTCGAGTGTATTTCACTATTGAATATTTTCTATTTCTTGTTAATATTTATTAGCCTAATCAAGGACTAAAAAAATAAAGCTAAGAAATCACAAAGCTTGTTAGTATGATTTATTTTTGCAATGAGGAAGCCTTTCAGTAGCTCAGACATAAGGTTCTAAAAGCTGGAGAATGTATCTAAGTTGATCCACAAAGTGAGGCAGCCTAAAAAGGAACGGAATGGAATTCTGAAACCTGGGTGCCCTTCTTGGAGAATTCCCAGCTTAGGGCAGGCCAGGGGCTGTCAAAGTAACACGTGCTCTAAAACAGCAGACTGTGCTATGACTGTGTATAAATTGAGTCTTAAAGTGAGGATATTCATTGCTTTGCCGCCTCAGGTGAGTGACCCTTTGGAGCAGATTCACAATGCATTTGAGATGGGTTATCTGGAGGTGGTATTTGCGTACACATGTCTTGAAAAATGTGAGTCACCATAGCAGAGAGGAATAGATCTCCGGAGACTTGCGGTGCTTCAGGGTATCAGCTCTCCAGCAGCATTGGAGGCCACAAGGCAAGAGGGAAATATTTTTGGAGCAAATCTGTAAAAATTATTATTCACTGCGTGCGTGATTTATGTATTTATGAGGGAGAGTGCTGTCACTGGGAAGTTTTTAGATCTCAGAAGTCAGAACATAAATGCAAGCCTTTTCCGACTAGTGAATTTGGGTTGGTGGGTTTTGGTTTTTTTTGTTTGTGTTTTGAGAAGCTGGAGTGACCCATCATAAATTCTGGGACATAGATGAAATAGAATACCAAGGAGAAGTCCAGATTCATTTCTTTAGGATGAGTCCTTTCTTGCTTTGGTCAAACAGATCATTATCCTGTGGGTTGAGAAGGGGGGGTGTTACACTAAGAGATCTGCTTGAGGAGGAATTTGATTAATAATGCCAGTTCCATTACCAGGCAGGTGACAGTGGTACATATTCTTTACCATGTCAGTGGAGACTTAATTTCAATCAAGAGCATCAGCTACTGAATTGCCACCCCTGCTTTCTGCAGCAGCTGGAGTTTTCCTTTGAGGTCTCCTTTTCGTATAACTTGAGATGTGTTAAAATCACAGCGAGGGATCATATAGCTGCAGATTATATGAACAGTATTGCTCACTCGTATGTGTTAAGCAATAGCATGTTGCAATGTTGTTTTCCTTGGCATTCATATTATCCTATTTTTGGTTTTTCCAGTTAGATTTTTTTTCTAAACTTTGATATTCAATGGATTAGGGATTTATATACGAGACTTTCAAAAAGAATGCATACAGCATGATCTGCGCTTGCCTACCCTCTTCCTATAGCTTTAAAAACAAGTTGTCTGTAGCACCCTAGAGAATTAAAAATATATAGATAGTATCATGAGCTTTCGTGGGCAAAACCCACTTCCTCAGATGAGACCCACCACCCCTTTCTTTCCTCCACTCTGC